TTTTTTTTTTTTTTTTTTTTTCTTTTTTGTGTTGGTAATTTTTATAGTCTACATGTTCCTTTTTCATGATATTGAAGTTGTGGCCGGTGTAGGAAACCAGACCAAATTAGTGTTCGTTAAGGACTTCAAGACCAAGATGACAATGACTCTGGTAGAATGGAGGTGAAGAGTCTCAATGCAATAAGGATCGCACTCAAGAATCTCCAAGACTAGCTCAATATTTTTTCATGTGAGCTTTGTTTTAATCTTGTCCTCTACTTTTAGAGTTTGCTCGCTATTTTACTTTGTTTTCATTTGGTCCTATTTGATTGATGAGAAAATGATGGAAAATTTCCATGAAAAATGCATCTTAAATGCTTAAGTCAGTTTGGTTAATTTTGGAAAGTAATAATAATTATTTATTAGGCATGGGTTATTGTAAAATATTTTTCTTCCATTGAAGTTTTAAATTATGGAAATACTGCATAAAGATTTTAGTAGTTGTTTCTTTTATTTCCTTCATTTAGAGTGACATTTTCTTAGTTAGAAGGATAATCGAATTTAATTTATTATTAAGGAGATGGAGGGAGATGAAGGTTATGAAGCTTTGCGTGGAGTATTCTTATGGATATAATGATATATTGCAGAGGTTGGCAGAATTACACTTTAACAAGTTTATATTGAATTGGTAGCAATGGTTCAAACTTTGGAATCAAAGAAATGACCCTAGGAGCTCAGTTGCGACAGGAAGCCATTTAGGGTGTTGCATGCATGTATAGTTAGTGGATTGCATTGTAGATCAATATTAGGATCTGGCCAAATTTATCAATTCACTCTTTAATGATCAAGAGATATCTCAAGAGTTGGAAGTACCATTTTTAGCAATTTAAGAGATTTTGTGGTGGTTGGTTCATTAGTGTATTTTTTGTGATATGAATCCTTAATCCGACCTAATGTCTATCATTTATTACATCAATTTTACATATAATTTCATGGCTTACTAATCTTCTAAGAATTTTTTGGCATAATTTCCAATATTATTATTGAAGTGGGTAACTCTTTATCCATGATAAAAGAATAAATAACTAAATATTACTTTAGATTGTGCAGAGAAAACCTACCAATTTTTTTTTTATACAGTTATGCAGTTTTTTTGTTTCTTTACTCATGTTACAAATGTAAAATCAATGTAGTCTTGCCTTTAAAAAGTCTAATAGACCTTTGAAGTTTGAAGTTTTATTTTACTTCAATAACATCTGCAGGTTGGTCTTTGCATTTTTTGCTTTATAGAGAAAAGATATTCACATGATTCTTTTTCCTTGCTTTTTATTGTCTACAGTCATATGAGCTATAATATTTTTGAGAGATTGAAATAAGTAGAAACATAAATACTGCTTCTGTGTTTGGCACTTTTCAACATGACTTCCCATTGTTGTTTGTCAAGTGTTAATGAATAATTTTTTATCATTGTATTCAAATTTTACAGCAAGTTGCCTCTTCTTTTTTTTTTTTTTCTTTTTTTTTTTGCATTCATTGTATATTAATGTGTTTTTGCCTCCTTTTTTTCCTTTCAATTTCCGTAGGCTCCCTAAACAGATTTAAAGTTTTGCTAGAATTTCCGCAAATGCTGTTTAGCCACAAATGATACGTTTAGGGAGTTTTGCTAGAATTGTGAAGATTGACAGAACTACCAATCAAAAGGTTCTTCTTTAATATGCTTCATATTTCTCAGGAGAAATAGCCAAGGGAGTTCTTTGGGAGAAAGATCACAAAAATTCACTTTCTGAGTTGATCATGTTGGCATTGCTTCTCTGATTTGATGAAGAAGCCGTTGGTTTTTGAAGTTCAGGAATTTGCAAGTATTTTTGGAGGACAAGTTTCTTTTAGCAGCCTAGGCATGGTGAGCACAGCTAATATTCGTTGTGAGTGAGTAGGCATTCGTTGTGAGTGAGTAGGCATGATGAGCATAGCTAATATTTTAACTTTTTTGCATTTGGCCATTTTAATCTTCTTGCGCCCTTTTTTAAATATTTATAATTTATTTTTTTCCTTCAGGCATATGAAGCATGGCTGGGTGAAGGATATGGTAGTTTGTAATATCAGGTTATTTGGAAAAATTAAACTGTTATGAAGGAGATTTTATCTTTACGTAGATAATTACTAAAAACTTTCAAGAATATTTTAAAATTATATTATTCAAAATTGGTTCTTGATTTATTTCTAAAAGTTATAATTAATCTTAGTTTTGCTCTCTAATTTCTTATTAATCAAAAATATATATCTTATCCATTTGTTAATAATGTTGTCAA